TTGCAGTAGTTTCTAAAAAATATCCTTCTAGAAAAATTGAGATAATCGTACTAATTTAGTGCGAATATTTTGTTAATTGTCAAGGTGTAATCTTTAAAAAATTGATTGCTCGCAATAAAGTAAAATCTAGGCATATCCAACTATCATTTTTAAGGTAATATTTAGGATTGGATCTGGTGGCGCAACTGGCTTAGCTGCAGGTCAAGTCACTGCCCCTATGCATTGGCAGGATCCTACGAAACAGTATATGGCAAAACGCTCTATAGACCTCTACCATGAGATTGCTAGCGCTTCTAATTTTCGTAAGATATTACTAGATTCGTTAACTTTCTTTCATTGTTTTTTCGTATGACTGCTTTTTGCGGATTTTCATTGCATCTTTTTCGTGTAATCACCGAACGAAATCAATAAGTACCACATTATATGTTTATGGTTGAGAACTATACTAAGATAAGGAAAGCCCGATTGTTTATTGCTCTTTTTTTGGGCTTAGGGTTCAAAACTCTCCTGCAAGCTGGACATTTACTCTGAGGCCCCTTTGAGCATTCGATAGGTGTTTCGGCCCTACAGTTGGGAGGATCCATCTATTACTTTTAGCGTTTTCTGTGGTTTCCCAGAGCTTACTTTGAAACTGTTCATTGTTTAGTAGATTGAAACTGTTCATTGTTTAGTAGATTATGAGATGAAAAATCAGCTCAAATTAAAAAAAAATTTTCTTTGTGTTTTACTGTAGATTTTATTCAGCAGAATTTCTAAATGATTCTATTAGTTCCCAGCAACGGTTTTGAGAAAGTTACTAGGTACTGTTTTATTTTTACTGACTAGTTTTTTCAGTGAATCTTTCAAAAAATTCATCTGAAGTTTTATAAAAGAAGTAGTAATTTTGGGATTATGTTTCTCTTTTGGGTTTCCATCGCTCCGGACGTGTTTACTTGGCTCGTTCACTGGCTAGCGAAATCAGTTTAAGAAGGATGTATTCGCGATCCATTCTCTATAATGAGGGTGCTGAACTTGTTGACGATGCTTCAGAAATGCTGTATAGATGGCCCTTTTTAAGAACTGACGATATAAAAGTAAGCGTTTTGAAATATTCAATGTAACTGCAAGTTGCTTAGGTTGGATGGTAAGTCTTGAAAACAGCTGGCTTTTTGCCCTTGATTTTTCTATTTAATTTATAACCTTTTGTAAGTTCATCGTTTTTTCCAGTTAGCTTTGGTTTCGCCAAATGATCTTTTTTTGGATCCTGTCGGTTTATGTAATGCTTTCGCTGAACGAGCCAAGGAAATGGGTACGTAATATGTAATGAATATGGGTAGAAGTGCCTACTGTGATCGTAACTGTACCTTTTCATCAACGTTGTTATTGAGTTTGACTGCTGACGCACTTCTAGGTGTTAAAATTTTTGAAAATTCGTCAGTCCAGGAAGTCATTGTTGGAGAAGATAATCGGATTAAATGTGTGGACACGGGCGCAGGACTTATTGAAACTGCAAACTTTGTAGATGCTGCCGGAATTGTAAGGAAACCAAGATTTTTTGTATAAATTGTTTGTGACCGATTTTGATGTTTTGAATTTAGTGGTGCGGTCATATCCCAGTTAGAAATCTGTCAACTACTACATTTCGCATTGCAGTGTACCCTGCCATGTACACTTATTTGAATACTCAGAAGATTCCCTCAATGAATGTTAGTGACCAAACACCAAGTTAGTGTAACAGGAATCTTATTTTGCAGTAGATTGATTTCGTCTTTATCATTTTTAGGAAAGATATCTAACTTGTATTATTAACTGGGTTACGTATCATTTTAGTCTTCACCCACGTCGACGATAAAATTTTCATAAAACCAACTGCGGGAAACACATACTGTGGAGGTTTTTCAGAGGAGCAAGCAAAACCTTTATCACTGCCAGACGAAAATGATTTCAAATGGACTATTCCTCCTCCGGACTGGGATGCCTTCTGTTTGTGTTTTAGGAGAATTGAACTTTTATCAAATTCAGAGATACTGTTAGTTTTTTTTGGACCTTATACTATTTTTTTCAGACCCGTCGTTAAGTAAACTTTTGAGTCGATGTGAATGTTTGGGCTCTGTTGGACACGGTAATCTTGTCGGCGGTCCTGAGGCGTATACTTCTGATAAAAACCCTGTCGTCGGTGAAACTGCTCAGGTTTGTCAAGTTTTTGAAAGGAAATTGATGTAAAAGGAGTCATTTTTTACTCATTTTTATTAAAATTTCCTTTATTGCCGAACATTTTTAGGTTGATGGCTACTATGTAGCTGGAGGACTGAGTGGGCAAGGTTTAGCATTGGCCGGAGGTATGGGAGAAGCTTTAGCTGATGTTATCTGTAACAAAGTCCCAAAAGTTGATATGTCAAGAATGGAGGTGACACGTTTTATTCCTTTACATTCGAGTCCACAATACTTGCTTGAACGAGTTCCAGAAGTTGCAGGTGTGTTTTCTAAAAAAAGATTGAGAAAATTTTGTTTGGATGGGATTAAATTTTTTTCTGATGTAATTCTTGAGTTTTTTTGAGCCTCAAGAACGATCAGTTATATGTTTTCAGGGATGTTGTTCACCAATTCTTACGAATACCACCAGTTTCGTACAGCTAGGAATTTACGGACTGCACCTATTTTTCAGCTTTTGAAAAACAAAGGAGCGGTGTTCGGTGAGATAATGAGCTACGAAAGACCGTTGTGGTACACCAAACAAAGTAAATACGTTTTCTATCATGGTTTTTTTAGAGGTCTAATAGCCGTTATTAAAAATCTACATTTTTTCTTTTCTAGGTGACAGAGATAATTTCTATAAAGGTCAGTATAAGCTAATTGGTAAACCAGAGTGGTTTGATCGTGTTGAAAAGGAGTACGAAGCTTGTAGGGAACGTGTTGGCTTGATAGACATGTCAAGTTTCTCCAAATTCGACATTTTTGTAAGGCTTGTTTGATTTTTTAACTTCGTACTTCAAAATTACATTTCATATTACAAATTGTTTCAAAGTTTTCAGGGGCCAGATGTTGTTGAGTTGCTTCAGCGCCTTTGTTCGGCTGATGTTGATGAGCCTGTAGGATCTACTGTGTATAGCGGAATGCAAAATCAAAATGGCGGATATGTTACAGATTGCACCTTAAGTAGATTGAGTCACAACCAGTATGTTCTCGCTATTTTATGTAGTTTACTTTGGATTTGCAAAAATTTATTTGGCAGATCAACAGCTAATAGTTGCTGATTCTCAAACTATGCTATTAGAAAATTTCCAGTTATTTTGTCGTTGCACCAACATATCAGCAGCTGAGATTACAACGATGGGTTAACAAGTGGATTAACGAGTGGAAATACAAGGCTACATGTCAAGTAAGTTGTTTTTTATCGATATTTAGCACCATTTTTGAAGAAAGCTTGTTAAGTTGAATTTAGATCTATTGTTTTTTACTTATCTTTACTTCTGCTTTTTTATTTTTCTATTCATATTACGATGCGAGAAAAAGATTATTGAATTGCTTATTAACTACCATCAGCACAATTTGCAGTTTTTATTCAAATGTTACAGTTATGCAAATTGGTAACATGTCATTTGTATCAATTAAAAATTTCTGTATTTTCAGGATGTTACTGGTCTGTACACAGCTTTAGATATCGTAGGACCTGCGTCACGTTACTTAATGCAAGACGTTACTGGCTACCCAATGACGTCTTCTAACTTCCCTACTTTTAGAGTGAAGGTACAGCATTTAGGAGCGAGCTTTTTACAGTATTTAATATGCAGGTAAAACTTATATCTTCTGATTGCTGTTTGTAGGAAATGAATATTGGTATTGCGACCGGTATTCGCGTGATTAGTGTATCACACTGCGGAGAACTGGGATGCGTGATTTACATTCCCAGTGAGGTAACGTTTCTATATACGCATCTGCATGGGTAAAGTCGAAGCTTATAATGAAATTTGCTTTCCTCTTGTTCTCGGACATGTAAGTTTTGAGTCAGAAGATTTCAGGTTTTAGTTATTTTTTATTTCTTTTTTGTTTTAGGTAGCTCAGAACGTTTACGAGCGTTTAGTGGACAGTGGCGAGGAATATAGCTTGAAACATGTTGGGTAACTTTTTAATCATCTCGTCTTTTCACCGCTTTTGCCGTTTGGAGCTTTTTTTTGTGGTGTAGTTTTCCAGTAAACAGTATTTCGAATTCGCTTTATTTTAATGTATTGCAGTTATTATGCGCTTCGGCAGTTGCGAATTGAAAAGTTTTACGTTTATTGGGGTCAGGATATTGGACCTCTCGTTACTCCGCTGGAATGTGGCCGAGCGTTTCGTGTCAACTTTAGTGTAAGCTGTTTTCAACTGAACTTATTTCTTTTGTTTTGGATAAGAACAGTGTGTGAAAACTGTAAGGTAGCAGAGGCGGATTGTCATATTTGTAATTGTTATTTTACAGAAAGATTTTATTGGTCGCGAAGCTTTACTTAGACAAAAGGAAACTGGAATCCGAAAACGCTTTGTTCAAGTTTTGGTCGGTAATCACGATCTTGAAATAGATCCATGGCCGCAAGGGGGAGAAGTTATTTTCCGAAATGGTGTACCCGCTGGACGAACAACATCTGCTGCTTATGGGTTTACTTTAGAGTGCCAGGTATGTTGTCTTACACGACTTTTTGGTTGATTCTTCTTGCTACTTCTCTTGCTTTCCTCTGAGTTTTTCAAATTTAGAGTGCTTGGCTTGGTAGAGTTGGATATTTAACGGGATTTTGGAAAGATTTGAGTCTTTATTTTCAAAAACCATGAATCACTCACCATCTGTGTGCCATCACCACGTTGGGTTTTAAAGGCCTAATTTCTTTTTTAAGTGGATGATTTGCCCTTCACTGTTTACTCTCATTTAATCTTGAGAGTCCTCTTTTCAAATCTTCGTGTGAATAAGTCTGTATACTTTCAGTCCAAAGTTATACCCTGACAGGCATATTTTTTTAATGAGTAAAACAGCCATCATTTATTTTCCTGTTGTCAAGTGTTGTTATTTTTGAAGCAGTGCAAGAGCATTTATTTGCTACAAATTTCTTTGTTAAAAATATTCATGACATCAAGGTCATGTATTTGCATGAGGGCTGAAAATGTAAATATTCCTTTAAAGCTAAAGATGTTTTGAATACTAGGGCTGCTTGTCTAAAATGAAGTAGTCACTGATTTTCGACTTCATTTGCTAATTTCTAATTAAGTCAAGATTATTTCAACCAACATTTTTACAATTTTTGACAGAAATAACATACAAGTGGTTTATTTCGAAAAGGAGGGGTGCTAAAATTTTTTAAGTTCTCCTGTTTTAACTCTGAAAAGTCAATTTTTGCAGCTTTTATGCAATTACTCACTTAATTTCAGGTATGTATAGGTTATATTGAAAATCAGGACTCTTATTTGACTGCTGATTATATAAACAGAGCGGATTATGAAATTGAAATAGCAGGGAAGCGGTTCCCCGTTCAAGTGAATTTGCATTCTCCAACGTTGCCTATGATTTCCTCAGAGCATCCAATGCATTATAGACCTACGCAGTAGGCTTCTGATTGTTAACTTTCATTTTCTGTTTATTCTATTTTTGTTTATACTAAGTATATATTTAACTCTGAACCCGGAATGATTTTTTTTCTCATTTTGAATTTGTCTTTCTTATCAGAAAGAGAAATCTGCAAAAATTTTCGTTCTTCAGTTTTCTCTTTCGCATGTTGTTTTAACTTTAAAAGATTGTAAGGTTGTTATAAAGCTTTATGCATTCTCGTTGTCAGCGTTTATTTAACATGGGTTATATTCGGTGTTTGATTTAGTTTTTGAAGGGATTTGTATGTTTTAAAACATTTTAAAGCTAATAAGGGAGAACAAGTTTTCGAATAATTAAATGTTTTGGGGGGCATAAATTCATTCCTAAATGATTGTTTGTTAAGAAGAGTTTGAACGTTATTGTTTCTTTATTAGCCCAAACGGTAATCGATTATTTGTAAATCCAGATAGCTCTATTTATTCAATTTTGTAATTTCTTTTCTGAGTTTATGCTAGTCTTGCCTTACTTTAAACGATCTTGTGAAGATTAGAGTACTAGTAGTGTAAGTGTTTTTTACACTTCTAACTTCTGTTTTTGTCGTTGTGTTATCAAATCCTATATTTTAGATTGTAATATTCTTGAATCGGTGATGCCAAGTATCGGTTACTTCTGTTTCACGCATAATTTGAAAATGTTTAAGTGTTTTATGTTAAAATTTACCGTGAACTACAGGGAAATTTGCTTTCTTTAAATCTGATGCAAAATGTCTGCTCTATTGAGTAGCTTGTTATCAATATTTTTCTTTTTGTTTTCGAGTGATTAAATATTTCATTGTAAGTCAGCCATAGATGTAGCGGACGAGGTTTTTTCTTCAACTTTAGTTTTTATGGTCAAGTAGTTATGTCAGTTTTTTAGCTGTAAAAGCTGGCCAGTGATGCCTTTTCTCAAGTACAATTTTTAAGCAAGTTCTAAGCTCATAAACATTTGTCTGACGCATCATATTGTTTTTGACTTCAAGATTGTGAAATATGATGGCTCTTATTCAGCAACAATTGTATATATAATGCTGGCAGGATTTTGTTACGTTCTTTCAGTTGTAAATAAATCTTGTCCGAGTGATTTTGTATGTTCAACTTTTGGTCATACACTGCTCTTCACTTTGATTCACATTCATTTTCAAACAAACTTTCTAACTTTCTGAGCGAATTCATTCTTCTGCTTTTTTCCTTGTGAATTTATTCTGCCTCTGTGAGCTAGAGAAAAGAATTATTACTATAATAAGTTGGTTTGTTTTTGATCTGGATTTTAGCTGTTGAAAGGACAGTTGGCAAAGTAGTATTACCTTGTCCGAGATTTGGGCGAAAGCGAAAGTGATGAAATTTCTTGGCGCCTATGTTTTGAGGCTGATTCTCCTGGTCAGGTGCTGTGCTATATTATTACCCATTTGGAACCATAACGCTGTAGTTTCCACTTGTCTTCTTACAATTGTTTGATTTCTGTGACAGTAGTTCAGACAAGTGGGGCGACGTTTTCTTTTTACGTTGATCGCTTTGGCAGTTTTCGGAGAGGCTGTCAGGTTTTTGGCGATGTTAAGAGCCGTTTAGAGCAAAAATAAGAAAAAAAAATGGACAAGCAAACCACACTGTCTGGATGAAGTCTGTCTGCCAATTCCCATTTTATTGGTAGACAGATTTTGTTTAGATGGGGAGCAATAATTTTGGGTGCCAAATACTGCAAGTGAGGTTATGATTGCATAATGGTTTATGGCGGTAACGTGCTTGGAATAATATTGTATCGAGATTTGTATTTTATTGCAACAGGAAGCCAAGCGGAAGTGTATGGGCCAGGCGTAGTGTCAACAGCTAAACATGTTGCTTACAAGCGCCGTCTGCTTATACAGACTTGCATACTTGAAGCGTGATTTGAATGGGGATAATCATTGGTTGTTGTTTGGTAAACCACTCTCTTGGGACTGTTGTTCAGTACTTTTTAGTTAGACTATCTTGCAAGTGCTCTGTCTTAAAAAGCAGCTTAATTGGTTCAATTTATTACAGATGAAATGACAAAAAGAATTTTACAGTAGTTCCTACACATCACTTTATGATTTTTACTTCCTTTTTTTAATGCAATTTGATGAGATCAATAATTTTACCTTTTACTGGTAGCCGTTTGTCATTGCCGTTGATTCAGCAGAGGCGGCTACAGGAAATTCTGTTTCATACCGACAAAATTTGGCAATAATACACTGATAAATTCGAACACGTGGTTACACAAAAGTTGTTTTAAACAGCTTTTTAGCTGAAAAGTTTTTAGCTGTGCTTATTGCAGATGTCTGTGAAAAGTCAGGATAACCAACTGGATGGTTTTTTTTTTTAAATCTAGTCTTACTGGTCGTTGTGTTAAACTTTGTCGATTATTGGTGGGGGGTCTTTAGCAATTATTCAATATTGTTCTTTGGTTTTTTCATCTGTCTTTCTTTTTGTAAGTTAAAATAACCTTTGGTCTAGACTAAGTTAAAATAATTGTCGTCAAAAATGTATCGCATTTGGAAGTATAGAAAAAAAATCACCAAATTTCGCTGGTAATTATCGATCAATTAGTTTTTTCTTTTTTTGATAACTTCTGAGCTCATGGTATACAGATGTTGCTGTTTTTACAACAATGTTAGAGGATAAATAGATTTTGAATCTAATCAAATAGAGTAATATGAGAGAAAATTTTGCAAACTTTGTGCATGAAAAAAATTTAAATTTATTTACTGATTAATTTCAAAATTAGATTTGACAAATAAACTGAAAAAAATAGAGTAGTTGATGACGAAGAACGAGAAGCGGTTGATGATGGGAGGAGATTAGAGGAAGTGGTGCAAAGAACGGATGGAAAATGCGATATTGGTATTTAGACTGTTTCATCTCGACCGTGGATTTTGTCTGTTTAGAGGGTTTGGAGGTTTTGAAGTAGACGCTAAATTTTTGATCTTTTTTTACTTGTGTTGCCTTATTGACAGGATTTGAATGATAAGTGTCATTTTCTAGATAATTTAGGATTTTTTATGTACTGTGCAGACATTTTCCTTTCTACCTTTCGCTTTATCAGTAGACAATTTAAAACCTACAGTATATTGCTTTTGACAACTGCTGAAAGTTTTGTAGAATTCCAGCAATTCATACTTTGTATATAATTTTGCTAGCTTTATATGTCATGATATTTTCATAACATTTATCTTCATCCGGGCTGCCCTTCACACGTGATGTATCATTTGTTCGATTGAAATGAATATGATGAACTTCTATTGGTTTAACAACGACAATAGTAATCTACCACTAAAAAATCTACCACAAAAAAGTAGAAGAGGAGAATTGTTATCAGTGGTGACGGATACAAAAATAGGGAGGGAACTTTACCATGTGTCTAAAAGTTTTTTTAATAAATTTTGAAACGGTTACCGAGCAGTAGTGTTGACATTTCGACTATTAAGAAGTAAATGAGCTTTAAATAGGTTTGGGGACAGAAGGTTGCTGACTTTCATTAAACTGTTAACTAACTTTTACGATTTTTAAGTGAAATTTGATAAATGTTGAACAAATTGTTTGAGTAAGATGTTTACAACATTAGTGACAGCAACAGCTTGCGGTTTAGCGGAGTTAAACTTTGTCAACAGTTTAGTTTTTCTCTTAGATATATGCAGTTTTCGCATTTTCTAATCTATAAAATTGACAGCTGTTGTGAACCAAAAAAAAAAAAAAAAAAAAAAAAAAAAAAAAA